CACCTTTCCTCCAGCTTGCAGAGGAAGCAGCCCAGTTCCCTTGGAGTCGCCCGAGTCTTGGGGAGGCAAAGTCAACAATCCCTTACAGATATCAAGAGGAAAAAAATGTTGTTCCTGACCAGTGCATAGGCAAGGTCTGTGCAGGTGAGGAGGTCTCCTAGCATTCCTTCCCTTCACATGGTCTCTGTTACCATGATAGCTGCTGGGCCAGTACCACACAATAATGGCTTGTGTAGTTGTCCCTGCTCTACTTGGATCCCGAGGTAGGGAGCACTGGTTGAAATGATACCAATGTCTCTTTAAGCCACCAATAATGGAACAAAATCATTAAAAAAAAAAAAAAAATCTTTGTTTGGGCAGATGTGCAGGACGTATGGTGTAGGTTATCTTTTTGGTGCCCCAGGCAACCTGATTTTCCTATAATTTCTTTGCCAAAGCCTTTGAATTAAGAGCTGAGGAGTTTTGCTTACAAATAGTTTTGAAGGGGTAGCACAGTAGTCTGTGTGCTTTCATTCCGGGTCATCTAAAACTAGTGTCTTCTCTGTTTGGAAATTCTCAGTTGAAAGTACTCTGAAGCTTAACAGCAAAGTAGGTTTTGGCATTGTGAATCTTTTAAAACTTGCTGGGAAGTTAGAAAGCTCTAGCCTTTATCAGGTTTGGGGGACATAACAGAAACATCCCTCTAGTACACATTACTCCTCCATCTCCTTGTGCCTGCCTCATTCCCCACCAGCACATAAAAATTCAACGTAAATGAGATTGTTCTAGCAGCTTGCACAAGCTGTGAATTCAGAATTTCAAAAAATGTCAGCTATCCCTATCTGCACGCTCAGAAATTGGAATTGAATCTAGTGTCTCCAAATGTTTAGCTCCTTGGGAAGTGTACAGACAACAAGGGACTGGGTTTTTTCTTTTTTTTCTTTTTTTTTCTTTGTTTTAATAAAACATAATTGCTCTATCTTAATACATTAACTGGCACATTTTCAGATGTCACTTTCACAAAACTTTCTGAGATTTAATTTAGAATTAAATTTAGGATTAATTTAGATTTAGCATTAGCTAATGCTGGGTTTCTCTGGAAAACAGTCCAGCTGTAAAAGCCTTTTATGATTTGTATTTCTCAAATCACAGTTTTGGGATAAGACCTCACTTACGAAGGAAAAGGGATGTTTTAAATAATATGAGGGGATATAGAGAAGAATTTGCCCATAGAAAAACAATGGGAGTTTTAACCCAAACCACATTTTTGATCAATACTATTAGCAAGACATTGGAAGGAAGCAAATCAGGTGGGAAGCAAAAGAATTTCAAACATAATGAAGTAAATGAACCAGTTCTTTAGGAAGACAGGCCAGTACATACAAATGGTACAAAGTTTATTCTAAGTTTCATATGTTCTTAGGAGACCGGTAATGCTAGAAGTAGTACTGCATACTCTAAAAATCATAAAATCAGTTTTCTAAAGATCTGGCCAAGAGGCTTGCTATTTGTTTCTGCTACAGAAGTAAGTACAGTAGTTAGTACCTTTTGTTTTGGACTTGAAACTTTTGCATTCTGTACTCCGAGGTTCTGTGCTAAAGGGTTGACTGGTTCAGTTCAGCAAGATGCATCTAGAAGTAAGAGGATGCATTTCCAAGAAATGTTACCAGAAGACTTGTAAGCAGAGGTAGAGAAGTCTCTGTAGGGGACTGATTTGTATGTTGGATGTTTTTGTTGAATACTTAATATGAGTAGGCAATATCAAATAACAGAACTAGGATTGTAGTCCTTGTATTTTGGGCTTGATTTAAAAACTCACATTCTCTCAGGCTCCTATTTCCCCCTCCTCTCCCCCCAGTCAGTTTCTGTTGTGCTCCAGAATCCCAGGTCCCTTGTGTTTACCACATTAAAGGACAACTGTACTATTTTGGGGTGGTTTTTTCTGCTGTGCAATAAACTAGGAGATATCTGTAGTGCCCATCCATACAGAACATCATTGACCTTCTACTCTAGAGCAGTAGCGTCTGCAGCTTTACCATGTACCAACAGGAGATGGTGACAGGACATAGAATGAAGCGCATAGGAGGAAACGAAAAGTCAGTTTATGCGATAGCTTTGTATCTTAATGAGGCAGCTGATTCGTCTCTGTAGAGCCAGCTGGGTGGCTTCAAGATCTTAAAGTCCTTTTGCAAGATTCTTCAAACACCTTGGAGACTCCATGGAAGCTGTGCAGTAGCATTTGCTGGAAACTGTCAAACATTTGCTTTTGTGCTTAGTAGGTTTGAGTGGTTAGCAGCTATTTGAAACGGATTTGATCGAAAAGACTAGAGAGTTTCCAAGATTGTTGGAAAAGTTGGGCTAAACGTGTGCCTGAAAAAAACAGTAGAAAATGCAGAAACAAAATTAACTTTATATTCTCTTCTGTTTATGTTAAAGAGATTTAAAATCTAGTATGTTACATCTGGCAGAAGAGATGACATTTGTTTTTCTTTTGACATCTGAAAGATTGGTTTTCTATCCAGACTTCTATATATCTCAAAAATCCCTGAAGAAATGTTTTTAAACTTGCCCTTTTGAAATTGATTTGATATGACTAGATCATACTTGGTAGCTATTTTTCTTATTTTTTTTCCGAAGTTACTCTGTGTTAAATCAAAAAGTTGCAATTGTTATGTATTTCTGACTTCCCAAAACCTTGAAATATCTTGAAATTATGAAAGGTGAAAAACTTTAAACAGTTTTTACTTGAAAGTGAGAAATATCTTGAAATTAAGTAAAGTGAAGAACTCTAGATATATTTTTGGGATTGTCTGCTTTACATGTGAAGAGAGCTCTGATTAAATCATAATTGGTTAGTCATACTGTATTTGTTATCTTAAAAAAAATCTCAGCTCTCAGTGTCACATAGTTAAAAATTGGTCTTTATAAGGGGAAACCAAAATTTTAACTTTCATGGTTTCAGAGAAGAATTTTAAATATGACTGTGTCTGGCTACAAACTTATAAAACAGTTGAGACAAAAGTTATTTTATTTTCATTGCCCTGTTTCAGACTTTTGGATGTTTGGATTTAGCAGTTTTGAAAAAATGAAGAATAAAGTGATTTATTATATTACTTCTTTTTTAAAGGTGGTTTTGTTTCATGTAATTTTAGAATAAAAGCAGTACCTTGCTGAGCGTGATCTATGGAAGCATAAAAAGTGATACAATTAAACAATTCTTTTTCTCTTGCAGATTAGTTCTAATATTTTCAGAACACTTCCACCTAGTGATAACCCAGATTTTGATCCAGAAGAAGATGAACCAACTCTTGAAGCCTCGTGGCCCCACATACAGGTATGCAATTCCTTTATTTTCAAGTCGTCTTGTAATGCAACATCTGTGAATGGATACTTGTCATTTTGTGCCTTTGGTAAGAATGTCAAAATTGCTTTTATAATACATTTGAGTTTCTATACTTGGGAGGGGAAAAAAACGGTGCTTTTCTTAACATGTATAAATATTACGAATGTAAGTCTTCCAAACTCCTTAAATACCTTTTTCTTTTTTCTTTTTTTTTAACAGTGATTGCACTGTTAGTGTGGTATATGTATGTCTTAATTACCTAAAATTTGCATATATTTTTATGCTATTAAGTAAAGAGGGTTTGTTTTCTGCACTTGAGCAACTCTTTTGTGTGATTTCAATAAAATATAAGTGGATGTTAACCATTTGGTTTCTTGTGACAGTAACAAAAAATGGAGTAATAGCTCTTATTTGTCTTTTGAGCAACAAATAGATATCTCCTCATTCTTCCCACCCTCTTCCCTCCCTTCATGCAAAAACTTTACAATATAGGCGTTGTTGTTTGGTAACAGTTGGTTAGTTATTCTATTGTTGCACTCCTATGCTAATCCCGTGATTTTTATAGCATTGCTGTATCAATCACGTGATTGACTTGCAATACTGATGAATTTTTTTTTTCAATTAACTGTTAAAAGTTGAACAAACCTAAGCCACTTGTAATCATCCAAGTTCCTATCTCAGGTAGTTCATTGCCAAATTTCTATAAGTAGTATCTGTTAAATAAAAGTTATGTAGCAACTTCTAGTAGTATGTAGAAGATTGATAGCTACCACACATCTGCATACCATTCTCTTCCCTCTCTAAGAGAGTTAAAATGCTGTTCTGTCCCTATAATTTTACAGTTCTAATGTGTCAATGAATGCTCTTATTTAAAAAGCTGGACTTCTAATATTGCCTATAAAAAGTACATGTTCAGGATAGTATTTGAGACTTAACCAAGTAAGAGACGAGTTATCACAAAAAATAACTCTGCAGGTTAAAGGCTGGGTTAATTATTATCTTACATATTGTTGATTCTAATTCATAGGAGAAATGGCTATAACTGAAACAGAAGAGAGGCTTGATTTTTGTAGGAGTGGGAGTGTGCAAGGGCTATGCAAATGTCTCTTATAGTCAGTAGCAGCAGCATCTGACTTCAAAATGCCCCTGTCTCTCAGGATTAAAATTTGTAAATATTAGCTCAGTAGGTCATAAGTAAATGATAGTTCTTTTTCTAGAAAGAGACTTGTGGTTTCTGCGACCAGTTCACTTGTGCTTTAGGCTTGTCTAAGAGAAATTGAAAAGAGACTTGTAGCCCATGGTATTACTTGAAATTTTATTTTCAGCATTTCCCTTTGCCTTTTTCTAAATGAGTTTTGGCCAGGCTGTCTGATCATTGATTCTGGATTTCCCTCTCCTGCATAAGTTGTTCATCCTGTCCTTGGAATAGATTGCTCATTGCAGCACAATAGAAACAATTTGTATTTTCCTCTGCTTTCTTCTACAGTTCATGTGCTACTGGATGGTAGAAGACTGAGTTTGATAACTTACTAATTGCCCTTCAGGAGCACAAAGCTGCTGGAAGTGTCAGATTTTGTGTATGGAGGAAGGGGGTGTGCACACCCGTTTCCCCTGCCCCATATCAAAACTCATTATTAATTTCAGTGTAGTCTAAAGAACTCCTTGGGGAGTCGGGGGGGTGGGTGTTTTGCTGGCTGTGATTTGTGATTGCTCAATTAGAAACAAATTCAGAGTTCTGTCCTGATCTGACAGTCAGGTAGTCAGTTTTGTGGGAGGGAAATGAAAAAAATTTGAATCTCTACTGTCCTCTGGCTTAATCTGTTGGCATTTCTCTATAAAATAACACGATAGATAATGGCATAGTAAGTTACCAGTGTGTGTAGTCACAACAAAAGACTCTAGACCTTCAGTAAAATGAGTGCAACTTCAAAGACAGTGCTTTAAAGCAATACTTAAGATGGTTTATAACTGTCAAACTAGGCTGAACAGGTTGGCATTAAGCCTCTGTGTATTCTGAAGCTTGGGGATTTGCAGAGTTTGTGGAATTGGTAGCTTAAGGGTCTCTACAAGAAAGAAGATTGAATCACCAAAGTACTAGGACTTCCGTTTCATGGCTCTTTGACCCAAGCAGACCGATTTTGAGAATCAAAATTACTAAATCCAACAGTTCTCCCCTGATTTAGTATTTTCAATGGTAATGCTTCAGTTAAACTCAAGAAAGTTGAGCATACGTGTCACGTGGGGGATTTTTGGGGGGTTGGGGGGGGGGGAGGT